CTAGGCATCTCGCAGGACTCCAATGGGCTCCATCGGGCTCATGTTATGACCGCGGATGCCCCCCCGACCAAGCGCCTCCGCACGATCCCTGAAGCCCTCGCCTGGAAAGACAGGGAGGAACACATCCACGACCTGGAGGACTTCGAACTTCGAATAGTCCTGCCCTCCTTGTCGTCCTCCTCGTCGTCGTCTCCCTCTGGTTCTGTCAGGTCACTGATCCGTCTCGTCTTTTCTATTCATGAATCTGTCTCGTTAATGCAATGTGAACGCCCGCCTTCACTCTGCTTTGACTGTGTGTCCCAACGCTGGCCTCACGTTGAGCCTCCGGCCCATTTTGTTAGCATTCAGCATACTGTAAAAGCGGAGACGGACGCGTGGGTTGAGACGGTCGCCGACGACGACGACGGTCAAAATTGGCCGCGGCGACAAAGCACGGGCGCGGTGGAGCGGGGGTCCGCCGCCGACAGGAGGGTCCGCCTCGACAGCCCAGTCCCACACGGACACAGGAGTGCGGGTTGGGGCGTCCGCCGCGACAAGGTCCGCGGCAACGCCGCACGCACACGGACGTGGACATGTACGCGCACACAGACATGGCAAGCACACACACGCACACAGACATGCACACGCGGACACACTGCAGATGCGGAAGCGTTTGCAACGGGCTGCGTCGGCAGTGGTCGCCCCCGAGGGTCTACCTCCGACAGGGTCCGCCGCTGACAGGAGGGCTCGCCGTCGACAAGGTTCGTCGCCGACAGCCCAGCGACGCACGGACACAGGAGTGCGGGATGCGGATGCGGAAGCGTCTGGTGTTGAGCGCCCGTGTTGGTGTCGGCGAATTTGTCAGGCGGGGCATTTTGGATTTTCCGACGTGGGTGTCCGCTGTCGTCAGGCTCCGCAGTGCGACCGAATCCCGCCAACCGATGATTAATCCTCCGCCAACGCGCGTTGACTGACACGACGACTCCACAAATACCTCTGCGCCGCTCATACTGCCACGCCGTTCACGATCACCACATTCTAGGCAAAGTCAAGCGGGAAGAAGTCGTATTCAACGATCTGGGGTCAAACGTCGCTACAATGTGGACTAGATACGACTGCAAATGTCACTGCCTAGTCAGTTGCGGTTGGACAAGAAGTATTTGAGCAGTCCGCTGGTGCTCGAGTCGTGTCCCGCACCATCGACCTTGCTAGCATCAGTACCCTCGAGGAGAGGAAGGATCTTCTTTGCTAAGACTTTTCCAAGCTCAACACCGTACTGATCGAAGGAGTTGATGGACCAGACGAAGCCCTGGACGGCGATCTTGTGTTCGTACATGGCGACGAGTGCGCCGAGGGTGGCGGGGGTGAGCTTCTTGACCATGATGGAGTTGGTGGGGCGGTTGCCCTCGAACACCTTGGACTTGACGAGGAACTCGTTGGAAGCCTCTGCGCCGAGCTCGGCCTTGACCTCGGCTTCGGACTTGCCAAAGGCGAGGGCCTCGGGCTGTGCGAAGAAGTTGGAGAGGAGGATCTCGTGGTGCTTGCCGAGCGGGTTCTGGGTCTGGACGGGGGCGATAAAGTCGCAGGGGATGAGCTTGGTGCCCTGGTGGATGAGCTGGTAGAAGGCGTGCTGGCCGTTGGTGCCTGCCTGACCCCAGATGATGGGGCCGGTCTGGTAGTCGACGCGCTCGGAGTTCTTGGTGATGAACTTGCCGTTGGACTCCATGTCGCCCTGCTGGAAGTAGTCTGCGAACTTGTGCATGTACTGGTCGTAGGGGAGGATGGCCTGGGACTGAGCGCCGAAGAAGTCGATGTACCAGATGCCGAGGAGGGCGAGGAGGGCGGGGAGGTTCTCCTTGAGCGGGGTGTTCTTGAAGTGGAGGTCCATCTCGTGTGCGCCGAGGAGGAGCTGCTCAAAGTTGTCGTAGCCGATGACGATGGCGATGGAGAGGCCGATGGCGGACCAGAGCGAGTATCGGCCGCCGACCCAGTCCCAGAACTTGAACATGTTCTGCTCTGCGATGCCAAAGTCGGTGGCGGCCTTGACGTTGGTGCTGAGTGCGACAAAGTGCTTGGCGACGTGCGCCTTGTCCTTTGCGTGCTCGAGGAACCAGTCGCGAGCGGTGGTGGCGTTGGTGATGGTCTCCTGGGTGGTGAAGGTCTTGGAGGCGACGATGAAGAGGGNCTTGGCGACGTGCGCCTTGTCCTTTGCGTGCTCGAGGAACCAGTCGCGAGCGGTGGTGGCGTTGGTGATGGTCTCCTGGGTGGTGAAGGTCTTGGAGGCGACGATGAAGAGGGTGGTCTCGGGGTCGCAGACGCGGAGGGTCTCGGCCATGTGGGTGCCGTCGATGTTGGAGACAAAGTGGGCGTCGAGGTCGCGCTTGGAGTAGGGCTTGAGCGCCTCGGTGACCATGACGGGGCCGAGGTCGGAGCCGCCGATGCCGATGTTGACGATGCTCTTGATGGCCTTGCCGGTGTAGCCCTTGTGGGCGCCGGAGCGGACGGCCTCGGAGAACTTCTTCATGTGCTCGAGCTCGGGCTTGACCTCGTCGACGCCGGCCTCGTTGATCTTGAAGTCGCCGGGCACGTCGCGAAGGGCGACGTGGAGGACGGCGCGGCCCTCGGAGGCGTTGATGTGCTCGCCGGCGAACATGGCGTCGATCTGCTGCTTGACCTGCGCCTGCTCGGCGAGGGCGAGGAGCTGGTCGAGCACCTCGTCATCGATGAGGTTCTTGGAGAAGTCGAAGAGGAGGCGAGCGTCGGTGTTGCTCGAGTTCCACTCTCGCGAGTACTTGTTGAAGCGCTCCGGGTCGGCCTTGAAGGCCTGTCCGAGGTTGATCTGCTTGCCCTTGGTCTCGTAGAGCTGCTGCAGCTTCTGCCACGCGGGCAGGGAGGAAGTGAGCTTGTGAGCCATGGTCGATGATGTCAGGATGTGCAATTGGTGGTGATGGGGGGACTGGGGAAGGTCGCCTAAATGGTGATGGAAGAACAAAGACGAGGGTGTGCACGAAGCTTGGGGGATGGCAGCGGCGACAGAGTGTTGAGGCCAACGCACGTCCAGGTCGGACTGTCCGCGGTGGAGCGCAGTGCCGAAGCGGTGAAATGGGAGAGTTTGCGAGACCGTGCGCCCGTCAGCCCATCAGCCTTGCAGATGACCGTCAGCCCAAGCCGTCCTTCTTGAAATCCACAAATTCGCACAGCGACGGAACGCCCGGACCGCGCCAATCGCTTCCCGCGTCCACTCTGTGTGACGTTGGATTGCTGATGTGCGCAATCACACAAAGTGTGGCCAGAGAAAGCACAGCCTATCTTCACTTCCGAGGCGACGGCCCCTTCCGACCGCCTTGTGACACGTGTGACAGCGAGTACTTTGCGTCCTCGGCTTTCCTCCGAATGACTTGGCTGGCCATAATCTCAACAGCGACTGAAGCTGATCCATTGTGGACACAGATCTCCGACAACGCCGGCTACGATGGTCACCCTTCCGAACGGCAGCACGACCTGCGAATTCAGAGACGGAGATCTACAACGCATGCCTTTCGCTGGAAGGTCCACTTGATCTTTCGGGGCAAGGCGTGGTTCGGGTTGCGGTCCGGCCATCTCGACCAACTTCCAGCTGCACGGAGATCTTCCGCAATCGATGGCGCAAAGGGAATCGCTAAGTTGACGAATGTTAGACCATCTCTCCCTCAGGAAAGCACATTTTTGTGATCGAAAAAGGGTCCAGTCGGCGCCTCATGCTTTCTTCCGCTTTTGAAACTCTCCTTCTTGCCTTGTCACCCTTGCCTACACGTCCTCACCCTGAGAGTCTAGACAGCCTCGGTGACCACGGACACAGATACAGTCGCCATGTCGAGCAGATGGGACTCTGCCAACGCGGAGGCCTCGGCCTCTCCCGCATTGCCCTCCTCCTCCTCATCCTCGGGTAACGCTGCCGCTGCCGCTGCAGCCGCCGCCGCCAAGATCGCAGCACAGCTCGCCGCCCAGATGCCATCTTCATCCGCAAACAACCAGGCTGCCTCCTCCTCTTCCGATGCGCAGAACAAGGATGCCACGCGCGATGCACACGACGCCGACTTCACCCACGACATCGAGATCAACGACCAGCGCAACCGATACGTCCTCACAAAGGGCCAGACACAGCAGCAGATCCACCGCGAGACGGGTGCCAGCATCACGACCAAGGGCACATGGTACCCAGACAAGGCGCTCGCCACCAAAGAAGACCCACCGCTCTACCTCCACATCAGTGCCATCTCGCAGCAGATTCTCGATGCCGCCATCGCCAAGGTCAACGAGCTCATGGCTCAGGACATGCCACAGCTCGTCGAAGACCGTCACCAGCGCCGTCTCGACTACGAGAATCAGCGTCCGCCACCCAGGGAGCGACGTCGCTGGCCAGAGATCAAGATTCCCATCAACCTCGAAAGCATCCGCAACTTCAACATGCGCTCCAAGATCGTCGGCCCCGGCGGCATGTTTGTCAAGTACATCCAGAGCGAGACGGGAACACGCGTGCAGATCAAGGGCCAGGGCAGTGGATTCATCGAGAGCGACACGGGCACAGAACTGCCCGAGCCCATGCACATCGCCATCGCCGGACCAGAGGACGAACAGATCCAGGCAGCAAAGGTGCTAGCCGACGATCTCATGGAGGTTGTCCGCGCAGAGTGGCAGAAGGCATTCGATGCCATGAACGGCGGATACGGTGGAGGCTCTGGCGGGCAGCAGGGCGGATACGGCGGATACGCAGGTGGTGCGGGTAGAGGCGGCGGCGGCGGCGGCGGCGGCTACGGCCGTGGGGCCCCACAAGGGCGAGGCGGCAGCCCGACCGGAGCCGGTGGCTACGGACATCAGTCTCCGCACGCAGGCTGGGACCAACAGCGCGGATGGAACCAGCAGGCGTCGCAACCGTACTCGCAGAGGCACAACGGCGATCCCGTCCCGCCCACGCCCGACGGTGCTCCGCCGCCGCCACCGCCCGAGGACGACGCACCGCCACCGCCACCCACGGACGCTGGCCACGCTCAGCCGTACTCCAACCAGCCGCGCAGCAGCGGTCGACCGCACGCCTCGTCACCTGCCGGCTCCTCGCCCCAGACCGGCCACCGCAGCACAGCAGCAGCAGCAGCGAAACCGGCAGCTGCAGCCAAGTCGCCCGAGGAGGAGGCCCTGGACAAGTACTGGCGCGAATACGTCGAGTGGGAAAACAGCTTCCGCGCCTACCACAACCGCGCACCCACCAAGGACGAGGGCGGCCAAGACGTGCCGCCGCAGTACCGCAAGTAAAGCCCCTCTCTGTCCTCATCTCATCTGTATTTCTAGCGCACTCTCTACCACGACATCGAGCAGAGATAACGGTCAGAGTCCCGGTGTGTAAGGTTGGGCAAGTACAGGTGGATGGGGGATCTACTGGTTGAGATCGACAATGTCGAACTGGATGACGAAGAAGACGCGGTCGTTTTTGCGGTCCTTGCAAATGTACCGCACCGGTTGACCGTCCCAGTACTTTTTGAGGTCGAATTTGAGGCCACCGGAGAAGGGGATGTGGAGGGTGAGGTCGTTGAAGTCGATGTAGGCGTTGACAAAGTCGGC